GATCCAGGTCTTGCTACCGACCTGGAACTTTTACGCCGTCGGGGTTATGATGGGTAAGTAGCGGAATATTGACCTCACCTGGCGGAGGAGCCTCCTGGGCCAAGATGGGTTGCTCTTCTTTCCGCTGGGTTGTTGCAGGGAAACGATGGGAGGAGGTGCAGCGGGGAATTGGTTTTCTGATGGGAGTGTTGTTCGGCTGGTGAGGCGATGATGTACTTGGAGGCGGGGAGGTGGGCGAGCACGTACGGACTAGGGGAACGATTGGGGACAGCGGCTGCCATTAATGGATATTTAATTTGCTTGAACTTGTGTTTGATGAAATGGCGGGGTGTGGAGAAGCGGAGTTGGGTTGGTAGGGTATATATTGGAGGAGAGAAGACGACTTCAAGTTTGGAACTTTCTTTCTTTCGTCCTGCCGAGGAATCCAATGGTTTGCAGAGCAACAATGGTTTGCATTGCGTGGAGACTGGAGAGGGAGAGAGAGAGTAAACAAAACTTCAAGCGAGTAATTAACCTAGAACCCAAAATAAATGTGATAAACTTTTGTTTATTTAATGTTTTATTAATTTTTAATGTCTATGTGGCATTCACGTTAGCAAATCATGATGATTCACTAACGGTCAACATTATTGACTGTTTAATTTAACGAAAATTCATAAAGCGGGCCAAATTAGTCTATATAGTGTATAGTTGAGGTCATGATGACAATTTATGAAACCACGAGCCAAAGTTTATTATATGGGTATAGTTCGGGCCATAATAAGGTATTAACTCAAGAAAGAAAGAGAGATATAGCTGGAGATTCTGGAAGTGAGAGAAAGAGAGAGATAATTGTAGTTAATATATTTTTGTAACATTCTAAAATGTAAGTTAATAAAAAATCTAATTAATAAAAAATTTCTCATACCCAATTTACCTTTAGTAAGCATAGTGATTACTATTTTATAATAATCAGTGTAACTTGTACCATGATTATTCACACATATCGTTTTTCACGAAATTTAAAATTTCTTTTATCTAGCTAGCGTCTTTTCTATTATTCGTTCATTACAAAAGGTATCTAGGTCTAGTAGATGTATATCTATTCTCCTCGTTATTTAATGAAATGACATTACTTTCTCTAATGTTATAATTACACATATTAGAATAATTAAACCCCAAGTTTCCAAATTACTTACCAAAAATAAAATTACCGTTCCTTAAGAAAAAATCGTGGGGAGTGGATAGGTGCATAACCTTGTGTCAATAATTATGCATAACCCAATAAGAATTCGCCACATCAGTGCCCCTTCTCTCTCCTGAAAAGCCTTTAATTTTCCCCCCTTAATTTTGAACGGACGATTTCCTACTCGTTTTAAGTCAAAAAAAAATTTCACAATTAGATAAGATTAATTGTGCTCTTCAAAATGATTTCCAAGTTAGTTTATTCTTGTTCCAGAGCTGACTGTTTCTTTCCTCCCAAATGTACCACAACGCCACGAGGAACTTCCCGATTTCAGCATCAACAACCTCCTCCTGCAGCTTCACCTTCCATTCTTCACATGTAAGTTCTTCTCCTTTCTTGAACAAGGCACTTAGAGGACTAGGTCTCCCCACACTTCTCACCCATCCACAGTCTAGAAATATATGGTATTGGCTCCCTCTGTCCACAGAAAGGACATTCATCACATCCCCTTAGGATTCTGTCCACAACATTTGCCCTAGTAGGTAGCACATTCTTGATCCACTTCCAACCAAAGACAACTTTGGTGGGATTCTCAATCCCCAGAAGCGTTCCCAATTGATAGGTGCATACAATTCACCTAATGTCTCTTCCTCCCTGTTTTTCCAAAAGTGGTATGCTAATTTAACACTATACGATCCTCTTTTCTCCATTCTCCATACTAAACGATCCTCACAGGGTTGTCTAGGAATAGGAATTTGTAGAATCCGCATTCTGCCTTGGGGATTGAAGTAAGCTTGCAAAATTTTGTTATTTCAACTTCTTGAGGACACATCTAGCAGCTCACAAACAGAGGTAGTATCCCCCACCCTAGACACATGAGATGTTACTTTGTGATGTTCAGCCGAGAGTACCCATCTATCCTGCCATATATCCACCTTACAACCATCTCCAATCTTCCATCTCACTCCTTCCTTGACAAGTTTTTGAGCTGCCATGAGACTCCTCCACACATAACTCGGGTTGTACCCTATTTCTTCCTCAAGAATAGGTCTTATAAGATAGTACTTAGCTTTCATAACCTTAGACACCAAAGAGTTGGGGTTTTGAAGCAAGTTCCAGACCTGTTTTTCGAGTAATGCCAAATTAAACTTGTAGAGGCTTCGAAAACCCATTCCACCCTTTGACTTTAGAGTGCAGAGCTTTTGCCATCCAATCCAATGTGTCCTGGTCTCACTATTTTTATGCCCCCACCAAAAGTTTGAGAGTAAACTTTGAATTTCATATACCACATTGAGTGGGACTAAGAACACCTGCATAGCGTAGTTAGCCTGAGCTTGTGCAACAGCTTTAATTAGCACTTCCTTACCTCCATATGAAAGTAGGTTGCTCTTCCAGAGTTTAACCTTCTCCCTTACTCGATCCACGAGGTATCTAAATACAGCTTTCTTTTATCGTCCTACCACTGTAGGAAGTCCCAAGTACTTCGAATGGTAAGGCACTACCTTCATTCCAAGGATTTGGGCCAACTGATCTCTAGTTTCTTCTTGTATATTAGGACTAAAAGCAATCTCATACTTTAGCAAATTAACTTTCTGTCCAGTTTCTAGCTCGTAGATGGCTAGCAAATCTTGCAAGCTTTTGCACTCCTGTCTGTTTGCTTTGGATGAACAACACACTATCATCCGCGAACAATAGATGTGTAATAGCAGGTGCTCCACCTTTTACTTTTATCCCTTCAAAGTTCCTCTCTCTTTCATCCTCTTGAATCAACCCCGAGAGACCTTCAGCTATAAATAGGAAAAGATATGGGGAGATAGGGTCGCCTTGTTGAAGACCTCTCGTCGGGTAAAATGTCTTTGTTTGGTGTCCATTAACAAGAAGAGAGTAAGACATTATGGTTACACATTTCATGATCACTACAACCCACCTCTCGGCAAAACCCAACTTCCTCATAATGGCTTCTAGGAAATGCCACTCCACCCTATCGTAGGCTTTCTCTATGTCCAGTTTAGCTGACATGAAACCTTCTTCCCTTTAATTCTGCCCTTCATTGAGTGGAAACACTCAAAAGCTACTATAACATTGTCTTTGATTAATCTACCTAGGATGAAAGCGCTCTGAAACTCTGAAATCACTTCATTAAGTAGACCCTTCAACTTGTTTGCCAACACCTTTGAAAAAATCTTGTAGAGGACCTTACACAGGCTGATAGGTCTAAAATCATCTGGGGTTTCAGCTTCTTTCTTCTTTGGTATTAGGGCTATCAGAGTATGATTGATCGATTAGGGGAAATCTCCATTCTCCATATACCCCTGCAATTCCTTTACCAAGTCCTCTCCAAGCACATCCCAGTTCTTCTTGAAAAACGCTGTGGGCATTCCATCGGCTCCTGGGGCCTTGTAGAGACCCATTTTTTTAGTGCACCCCAGACCTCCTTAGCTTCAATCAGCCTTAATAATGCATCATCATCTCCTGAGTAACTTTATACGGAACAGCGTCCAAAACCTGTCTCGAGTCACCATGCGGGTCTGCAGTAAAAATAAACTTGAAATAATTAGATAAACAGCCAGCCACTTCTTGTTGACCCTCCTTAATACACTCATTTTCTGCTCTGAGTTTCCAAATAGTGTTCTTGTTTCTACGATCAGAGGCTCTCTTGTGGAAGAACCTAGAATTCTTATCCCCGCCCTTCAACCAGTCCGCTCTGGATCGTTGTTTCCACATGAGTTCTTCTTGGATAATGATTTCATTAAGTTCTTTTTCCAATGCTTTCCTTTGGATTACAACAGCAGAATTCATCCTCCTTTTTCCAACTTTTCAAGGGCCTTTTTTGCTTTAATACGCCTAAACTTCAAGTCTCCAAACGTCAGTCGACTCCACCCCTGCAACTTCTCTCCACAGTGACCAATTTTATCCATAATAGATCTGTTTGCTGCTTCACTCAAGCTCTCCTTTATCACTTGTTTGCACTGCTCATGAGTCATGACGTTGCCAAAAGGGTTCAAATCTAAAACTCCATCCCCACCAAACTTCATCATCTACCAGTTTAGTCGTAAATAGAATAGGAGAATGGTCCGATCCACATCTCTTCAGATGATGGACCCTAGCATGGGGAAACATATCCCTCTAGTCAGCATTTGCTACCATCCGGGCTAGTCTTTCTTCAAGATAAGTATCATCCGAGTGATTGTTGTCCCAAGTGAATGGTTTTCCAAAGTAACCTAGATCCTCCAGATTGCAATAATTTAGGGCTTCATTGAACATTTCCATTTCATTTTCAAACCATTCTTCTCTTCATAGCCTTGGATTAAGTTAAAATCACCCCCATCAGCCATGGGATATCCACCATGTCTCTCAATTGCTTTAGTAACACACCCGTGTAATGTTTATTACCCTGCTCAGGCCACCCGAAACCCCAGTAAACCGCCATTGAAGCTGTCCTTCTGTTACGGATACATCAATATGGTTTGTCTATTTTGATTTTACCACTACATCCAGATCCTGCCTCCACATCATCAATAATCCCCCAGCTCGTCCTGTAGAACCAACACCACGCCCCTTCTCCCAACCTAACTATTTCATAGTTTCTTCCCATCCATGCGAGATTTAGTTATTGATGGGTGCATAACCCATGTTTATACACCCTATCTGGAGCCAAAATCGTATAGTGATAATGAAGAGGTAGAGCACTGATTATAATCCAAATCAATGAATCATGCTACCAAACGATGCCGCTTTTTCGGAGCCAAGTGGTCGCTGAACTGTATCTTCTTTTTCTTTTCCTTTTTAGTTTTCCAATTAGATGTATTTGATGTTAGGCGACCAGAATAAATGGTCGTTGAACTTTTATTCATTTGCGTCCATGTAGTATGGTCGCCAAATACGAAATCATGGCCGCCAATTTTTTTTGGTCTTCCCACTTTTCTAAAGTAAACCTGCCAACTTTTCACTTATCAATATTTGATACCATTTTAAAATTGTGGTCGATGATGGTTACATAGTTCGCGACCACTTATATAAATGGTCGATGAGAATGGTCGCCAAAAAGCTTCTCTCTTGTAGTGAAAATGAACACATGATTACAAGGGCACTTCGTTCACAACTTCACATGTGTTGAGAAACCGGGCAGCAACCACAAGCAAGAATAGAATGCACAAGACACACGATTTTTACGTGGAAAACCCAAATCGGGAAAAACCACGGGACCTTTGTCCAAGCCACAACTCCACTAGACTTTGGTGGGATTACAAGTCCTCTCTAGACTAGCTAGAGGATTACAAACACCTCAAGAACACCCTTCTTGGATCAACAATCAAACACAATAGCTCTCACCAACATGGTGGATAACAAGAACAAGAGCAAGACAAAGAAAGGTTGAGAGATACCCAAAAACAGATTCGTACACCTTCTGTCCAGCAGCTATTCCCGAAGAACCAGACCTCAGAATGACGATCCCTTCAGTCCGAATGAAGCCCAGACAATTGCGAACCCAGTGTCCAAATTTCAGGACGATCCAACGGTTCAATCTTCCAGAACGCTCACTTGAACAGGCTGCCCTGCTGCAGAAACGAAAAGCAGCAGCTCTTTCTCTCTTCTCTCTTTTTCCTTATCTCTTCTCTTTTCTGATTCTCTCTCTCTAGGAAGATGAAAGGTTGTCACCACTTTTTACTTTTAAGTAGACAATAACTCTCTATTTTGAAAATAGAGGATCTTCTAGAAACCAACCAAAACTCAAACTCAAACCGGTTAATCCAACCACCATATGAGTTGGACCAACCCAACAAATCTCCCCCTCCAGCTCATATGGGGGGTAGCACCAAACCTGCTTCATCTCGACAGAAGATATGTTTTCCACTTGGTAGAGACTTAGTCATCATGTCCGAACCATTGTCATCTGTATGCACTTTGTTGAGCTCCAACAACTTCTCTTCCAAAACATCACGAATCCAATGATATCGAACATCTATGTGTTTCGACCTTGAGTGGAAAGTTGGATTCTTGCAAAGATGAATTGCACTTTGACTATCACAATAGAGCACATACCTCTCTTGCTTAAAGCCCAACTCTTGAAGAAACTTCTTCAACCATAACATCTCTTTGCAAGCTTCTGTCACGTCTATGTATTCGGCTTCTGTTGTTGATAATGCAACACATTTTTGCAGTTTAGATTGCCATGAAACTGCAGCACCTGCAAAAGTCATCATGTAACCAGAAGCCGACTTTCTAGAGTCCACATCACCTGCCATGTTAGCATCGGTATATCCATCAAGTATGGTCTTGCCATTACCAAAGCATAGACACACTCTAGAAGTACCTCTCAATTAGCGAAGAATCCACTTCACTGCTCTCCAATGTTCTTTCCCCGGATTGGAAAGAAACCGACTAACAATCCCAACGGCATGTGCAATATCCGGCCTTGTGCAAACCATGACATACATCAAGCTTCCAACAACTGATGCATAAGGCACATTCTTCATTGCTTCTTTCTCTTCATCACTTGTAGGACAATGCTTCACACTCAACTTGAAATGTCCTCCAAGTGGAGTACTAACCGCCTTAGCCTTGCTCATGTTAAACCGCTCAAGAACTCTTTCAATATACCTTTCTTGAGACAACCAAATTTTTCCATTCCTTCGATCCCTAGAGATTCTCATCCCTAGAATTTGTTTCGCCGGTCCTAAGTCCTTCATGGCAAAGGATTTACTCAACTCCTTTTTCAATCTATCAATCTCTCTAACATTCCGACCCACGATCAACATGTCATCCACATAAAGCAAGAGAATGATGAAATCATTTTCAGCAAAGTATTTCACAAACACACAATGATCGGAGGTAGTTCTTGCATACCCATTTTTTACCATGAATGAGTCAAATTTCTTGTACCATTGCCTTGGTGCTTGCTTCAACCCATATAAGCTCTTTCTCAATCTGCATACAAGATCTTCTTTGCCTTTAACCTCGAACCCTTCCGGCTGATCCATGTAGATTTCTTCCTCTAAGTCGCCATGAAGAAACGCCGTCTTCACATCGAGTTGTTCAACTTCCAAGTCCAAACTTGCAGCCAACCCAAGCACAACTCGGATAGAGGACATCTTCACCACGGGAGAGAAAATTTCTTTAAAGTCAACACCTTTCTTTTGGTTGAAACCCTTCACAACTAGTCGCGCCCTAAACCGAGGCTTTGAAATAGTTTCCTCCGTCTTTAACTTGTAGACCCACTTGTTCTTAAGTGATATTTTTTCCTTTGGGTAGTTTCACCAAATCATAGGTGTGATTCTCTTGCAAAGACTCCATCTCTTCTTGCATTGCTTTGTTCCACTCCTCCTTGTCTTCATGAGACATGGCTTCTTGATAATATTCGGGTTCTCCCCCGTCAGTCAACAATAGGTACTCATGAGGGGAGTACCAAGTGGAAGCTTTGCGATCTCTTGTTGACTTTCTTGGTTCGGATAGAGGATGCTCTTCTTCAACTTGTTCTTCTTGCTCCAATTGCTCTTCTCCTTGCACTTCTTGATCTAGTGCACCTTGGGGCTCATCATGCACTACTTCCTCAACATTTTCATGCATTTGGGATGGAGATATAGGCTCCAAATTAACCGGATCAGCTGCTGTATTTTTCTTCTTTTCAACCCTTTCGACGTCTTCACTTGTTTCATCTTCAAGAAAAATCACATCCCGGCTCCGAACAATTTTCCTTGCAATTGGATCCCATAATTTGTACCCAAACTCTTCACGCCCATAGCCCATGAATATACATGGCTTTGCTTTGTCATCAAGCTTTGCTCTCTCATCTTTTGGAACATGAACATAGGCTTTGCAACCGAACACTCGCAAGTGTTCATATGAGACTTCCGTTCCCGTCCATACTCGTTGAGGCACATCACCCTCCAATGGGACCGATGGTGAGAGATTGATTAGATCAACCGTTGTCCGCATTGCTTCTCCCCAAAATGATTTAGGTAGCTTGGCATGTGAGAGCATACACTTGATTCTCTCACAAATTGTTCTATTCATCCTCTCGGCGACACTGTTTTGTTGTGGAGTCTTGGGTACACTTTTCTGCAGTTTAATTCCGTGCAATCTGCAGTAGCTTTCGAATGGACCTCTATACTCTCCCCCGTTATCAGCCCTTACACACTTCAACTTCAGGCTGGTTTCCCTTTCCACTTCAGCATGAAATTGCTTGAAAACATCTAGCACTTGATCCTTCGTTTTCAAAGCATATGTCCACACCTTCCTTGAGTGATCATCGATGAAGGTAACATAATAGCTTGCACCACCAAGAGTTTTATCTCGCATAAAACAAACATCGGTGTGAATTAGATCAAGTACCTTACTCCTTCTAGAAGGTGGAAATCTATGAAATGCAACTCTATGAGTTTTTCCGGCTAAGCAATGAACACAATTTTTAAGAAGAGTACCTTTAGCTCCGGGCAAGAGTTGTTTCTTGGACAATATTTGCAGCCCCTTCTCGCTCAAATGACCGAGTCTCTTATGCCAAAACTCAATGGAAGAATCTTTCTCAGCAACATTGATTCCTCCCTTGCTATGTTTTGCATTCGTCATGTAGAGCGTACTTTCCTTCTTGCCTTTAGCCACCACAAGAGAACCTCTTGAGAGCTTTCATTTTCCTTCTCCAAAATAGTTGGTATAACCATCATCATCAAGCTTTCCCGTGGATATCAAATTCAGCCTCATGTCAGGAACATGTCTCACATCCTTCAAGACTAGCTTGCAACCCGTGTTGGTCTCTAGATGAATATCACCCATGCCAACAATCTTTGATGCGCCATCATTTCCCATCCTCACACAACCATAGTTACCGTTTGTGTAGGAAGAGAAAAGATCAACCCGTGAGGTCACATGGAATGAGGCACCTGAGTCAACAACCCATGTACTCTCTTGACAAGCAAGGTTAACAAAACCGGAATCACAAACAATGACCACATCACCATCTGTGGCAGCAGCAGTAGTATCATCTTTTTCTCGGTTTTCCACACCTTTTCCTCTAGCTTGTTCCCGTTTCAAGATTCTACACTCTCTCTTCATGTGTCCGGGTTGGTTGCAATAATAACATGTGATTTCTCCTCTTGGTCTTGACAATGATTTTGATCTCCCTTTTGATCTCCCTCGGCTGTTACTTCGATTTTGAGAGTTCTTGAAGTTGGAATTTCGATTTCTGCTTCTTCCATAGAGATCCTTGCAAAACAGAATATCCTCCATCCGTGGCTTCCAAATAGAGTAGTCGGATGATGTCAACTTAATCATTGCTCCACTTGAGTAATCCATTCTTGCCATTCACCAAACACAGCCCCCAAAAAAGCTAATGCTCTGATACCACTGTTGAGAAACCGGGCAGCAACCACAAGCAAGAATAGAATGCACAAGACACACGATTTTTACGTGGAAAACCCAAATCGGGAAAAACCACGGGACCTTTGTCCAAGCCACAACTCCACTAGACTTTGGTGGGATTACAAGTCCTCTCTAGACTAGCTAGAGGATTACAAACACCTCAAGAACACCCTTCTTGGATCAACAATCAACCACAATAGCTCTCACCAACATGGTGGGTAACAAGAACAAGAGCAAGACAAAGAAAGGTTGAGAGATACCCCAAAACAGATTCGTACACCTTCTGTCCAGCAGCTATTCCCGACGAACCAGACCTTAGAATGACGATCCCTTCGGTCAGAATGAAGCCCAGACAATTGCGAACCCACTGTCCAAATTTCAGGACGATCCAACGGTTCAATCTTCCAGAACGCTCACTTGAACAGGCTGCCCTGCTGCAGAAACGAAAAGCAGCAGCTCTTTCTCTCTTCTCTCTTTTTCCTTATCTCTTCTCTTTTCTGATTCTCTCTCTCTAGGAAGATGAAAGGCTGTCACCACTTTTTACTTTTAAGTAGACAATAACTCTCTATTTTGAAAATAGAGGATCTTCTAGAAACCAACCAAAACTCAAACTCAAACTGGTTAATCCAACCACCATATGAGTTGGACCAACCCAATTTTTTTTGGTCTTCCCACTTTTCTAAAGTAAACCCGCCAACTTTTCACTTATCAATATTTGATACCATTTTAAAATTGTGGTCGCTGATGGTTACATAGTTCGCGACCACTTATATAAATGGTCGATGAGAATGGTCGCCAAAAGGCTTTTCTCTTGTAGTGAAAATGAACACATGATTACAAAGGGCACGTCGTTCACAACTTCACATGTGCCAGATACTCATAGAGCCTCTTTAGCATTGTTATTTACTTTTGTTTCTGTGCCAAAGGGAAAATTTATCGAGCACCAACATTCCCAAAATAGGAAATAATTATGCGGTAAAGAAGGGAATGTAGTAGCTACCACCACAATTATATTTTAGTTTTCTTAAGAAATGCTTTTTTCGAATATTTCTATTTTTTGCTTATTTCTCACAAAGAAAGAAACCCCTCCAAAAAGTTTGATATTGGTCACGACTAATGGTGTCTCCTAATTTTTCTCTCTTCCAGTCATCTTGGCTTGTCCGTCCCTGTCCATCTTTCTTTGTTCTTGTCGAAAGTAAAACAAATGAAAGAAGATGAAAAGAAAAGGGAAACAAGAATTTTGAGAGAGTAATGATTTTAGAAGGACACAATTCAAACTTGTTCATGTAAATTCCTTTCTCTCAATTCTGATTCCTATTTGTTTGTTTTTCCTAATGGCACATTCTGTAACTATAGCGAATGGACCAGGCCATCCAAAGATGGATCGAAAAAGAACCCTTACAATGAATTGGGATGCCTTTGGTGATCATGATGATGATGACGATGATCGATTTTTTGATTGCAACCGTCTCTCTGGCGCTGTTCCGACCGACCTAGCTTCTTCAGGATCCGACGAGGATGACTTTGAAGAATCTCGTGCCTCGTTCTCCACCACCATTTCCTCCAAAACATTTCGAAATTACTCGTTTGCTGCAACCGCAGGCACAACAATGTCGCCAGAATACGACATATGGATGGCAGCTCCGGGATCAATAACTGAGAGGCGGAACCGCTTACTCCAAGGGATGGGCTTGGCCGAAGAGAAAGCAATGGTAAAGATGATGAGCAAGGACTTTTCTCGCGCTGTTACGAGAAAAATTGCCCAAGTCACTGCGGCCGCAGCTGCCAAGGCTGCTGCAGCGACAGCGGCTTCAACATCATCTCAGAATCCTGAGCAGCAGCAACCAAATAATTCCACTTGTGACAAATCTGTTTCCCCTGCCTCCAGTTGTAACCACGAGCGCGCACCATCATCACAACTTCCAGTAATGCTAGTTCGGTCACGATCTGACGGTGATATTGAATCTTTCTCCAATGACAAGAAAAGGAAAGAGGAGGTGTTCGGATTGGTCTCCAAGCAACGCATCACTCGCACAACCTCTCTCATCATTGTATCCCAAGCTCGTGCGCATAGCAGCAGCTACTCAACCTACCTTCCTGACTCTGTACGAGTCCCCAATAACAAGGAAAATGGGAATGGATGCTCATCCTCCAACAATGAAAATGGTGGTGGTGCGCACAATCGAGGCTCTAATAATAATAAATCGACCATACCCAACAACAACAACTTTGGAGCCTTTTTCCTAATCAAGAATTTGGACACGGGCAAGGAGTTCATAGTGAATGAGTACGATCAAGATGGGATGTGGAACAGAGTGAGCGATCTCCAAACCGGAAAGCAATTAACGATGGAGGAATTTGAGAAATCCGTTGGGCATTCACCTGTTGTAAAAGAGTTGATGCGAAGGGAAAACGTGAACGATGGAAATGACAGAAAGCTGGGAGCCAACAATTACTTCTCCAAGAGTTTGCGTATGAGCAAAAGGAGAGGAGCGGCCCTGGTAAAAAGTTTGAAAGGGGTTGCACATTCGATGTCGATGAGTGCTTCGAGGGACAGGGATCTCCTTCCACCACCAATACCCGATCAAAAGGCTCCTTCAGGTGGAAATAATAAGAATTCTTCATCAGCAGCACCATCAGGATGGATTAAAGTTCGGGTGACGGGGAAGTCACAGAGGGAGCTGAGTGCTTTGCATTTGTGTCAAGAGATTCAAGCACACGAGGGTTCGATTTGGACACTCAAGTTTAGTTCAGATGCCCGGTATTTGGCTAGTGGTGGTGAAGATAAAGTAATACATATATGGGAGGTTCAGGAGTGCGAAGTGCTCTCCTTGCATGATGGCCATTTGACCCCTCTTCATCCATCATTAATGTCTAATTCTTCTGTGGCACCACCGCCGCCTAGTTTGTCTGAGGCGCCATCCTTGAGCTTGAAGAAGAAGAAGAAGGGTGGTTCTACTTCTACTAGCAAGAAAGGCAACCCGATTCCCGAATATGTTCATGTGCCGGAAAGTGTGTTTGCACTGTCAGAGAAACCAATTTGCTCCTTCACTGGCCATCTTGATGATGTGTTGGATTTGTCATGGGCGGGATCTCAGGTAATCAACCAACACTCTGCCAATTTTTGCAAGGATGGGAATGAATCGCAAGAATTTACAATTTCTATTGAGCAACGACATTACCCTTCTTCTTATTATGGCTTGCTTGCTATATAGCTACTGCTATCATCATCAATGGATAAAACAGTGAGATTATGGGATATGGAGAGCAAGAGTTGTTTGAAGATGTTTGCTCATAATGATTATGGTAATAAGATATCCCCATAACTCAAAACAATATCATTATCAAATAATTAATACATCTTTTGTTTTATTATATATGTCTGCACTGCAATCTTTTTTATTGGCTTCTTAATTATGTTTTCGAGCAGTAACTTGTATACAATTCAACCCCATGAACGATCAATATTTCTTGAGTGGATCACTCGACAACAAAATTCGAATATGGAGTGTTCCTGATAGACAGCTTGTGGATTGGACTGATCTTCATGAAATGGTCACTGCCGTTTGCTACACTCCAGATGGTCAGGTACAAGTACAACCCTTTCGATTCATAAACAAAGAAAATTTTCATTGTCCTCCTACTCAATATTGTCTTTTTCTTTCTTTCCTCTTGGTTTCTTTGGTGATATTTTTTCCCTTCCTATTTCTTAATTGAAGGGTGCACTAGTCGGATCACACAAAGGAACTTGCAGAATGTATAGTCTTGAAGGTCATCTTTTATTCCATGAGATTACTAAATTTCCTTTCCCTTATAAAATGTTACATATGAATGACATATTTCTTAGTTTTCTTCAGACTGCAAACTAAATCAAACGGATCAAATTGACATCCAAAAAAAGAAATCCAGTGGGAAAAAGATCACAGGGTTTCAGGTATTGGTTCCCTTTCTTTCTCATTCTCATCTTTAACTTTCCTCATTCTATAAAAATTTTCCCTACCCATGTGCTTATTTAAATATATGTACCTAAGATTTTCGTTTGTATATGAAATTGGGAGAATTACATGTGTGTAATTCTATAATTAATTAATTAACAACGCAAGTATGAGGCACTGTTCCTCACGAAATTTCCGCCCGCATGCCTCCGTGGAAACTGTTCACCGGGGGAATTATTATTATGCGTTGAATCAATTAATAATTACCCTTGCCCATTTTCTTTCTTGGCAACTTTATTAGATCCATTATATGATTACGTTTGCCCAGTTCCTTTCTTGGCAATTAATTAATTAACAACGCAAGTATGAGGCACTGTTCCTCACGAAATTTCCGCCCGCATGCCTCCGTGGAAACTGTTCACCGGGGGAATTATTATTATGCGTTGAATCAATTAATAATTACCCTTGCCCATTTTCTTTCTTGGCAACTTTATTAGATCCATTATATGATTACGTTTGCCCAGTTCCTTTCTTGGCAATCATTTTAAAATTTTGGATGGTTATAAAATTCACTCTAATAATTTTGGCACGATGCGGGTATCTCAATATACACACTCATCAGTCATCACGCATTAAGTGCAGGTTAGGTCGAATAATATCCACGCATGTATATGTGGGACGGGACAGATCGACCCCATTCTTATATGTTATTTGAAAAAATAATGTCGATACTAACTCTTTAAAAAGAAGGCATAGATAAAATACTTCATAAATTAATAAGAAATATAATATAAGAAATAATTGACTCTGAATAGTTGAAATGTTAATTTTAAAATATCTTTGAGATGAAAATATTATTTTAGAAAGGTCAAAAGAGGACACATACAGATACATGTTAATTTTGATGTTAATCAAGTGTAATACTTTTCGTAACTTGATTTTACTATTAGACCACATATTACGGAAGATTTAAGTAACAACGATGTATAATAGTTACATAAATTACAAAAGCATTACATAAAATTTATCGAGGGATAGTTATTTCTTATGTATAGAGTAAATAAGTCTTCTCTAACAATTAAGACACTAAATAAAACTGGTTGACCTAATCATAATGATAATTAAGACCCGACATACAACTTATGGGATCTTATTAACATAATGTTCTGACAAATAAAAATTAAGCAGATGAAGTCTGAAATATAACTTATTTCTAGCCGCCGCAAAGCGCGGGTCAAAAAACTAGTTATTATTATGTGTTTAGTTGGTAGAGATTGTCATGGTGGACTCAACAGAAGAAGTAAAAGTAAAATTGAATCTTTGCACACATTCATATTATTTTAACCAAGTTTAGAAAAATTGATAAACCATTTATTTCATAATCATAGGAACAATATTGGGTTAACCCAAAATGATGACTAACTGAAATCTCTATGTGAAATTAGTTTTCTCCAGGAAATCCATCGGAAGTCCTCGTCACTTCCGCTGATTCTAGAATACGCATTATGGATGGCAAGGAGCTGGTCCACAAATTTAGAGGTAATAACATTAACATCCAGCTTTCCTTCCCATTGGTAAAATTCAAAAGAAGCTATAATCTAGTGTAATTACATTTCATGAAAATTTGTTTATTCATTTGCTCAGGTTTCAAAAACATCAATAGCCAAATTGCAGCTTCATTTAGCTTGAGTGGAAAACATGTGATTTGTGCCAGCGAAGATTCTAACGTGTACATCTGGAAGCGAGAGGAAGCTGGAAAAGGCAAGAGTGTTGTCACCAATCGGGGGTACGAGGCATTCCAATGCAAAGATGTGTCAGTGGCCATTCCCTGGCCCGCAATCGTGAAAGGAGAACCTCCCTCAATTCCAACCACCACAACAAAAAGCAAGTCTAAACGTAGCTCTGCTACTTCTTCTACCAACTCCCCAACAAAGGAAGACTCCTCCACCTCCAGTAAAAAAAGCTCTGTAGACTCACCGACCAAGGAAGAGAATCCCTCAGCATCTAAGAAGCCACCACTTCCAAAGAAGCACAAAGAAAATAATAATAACAACAAGGACATTGCTGCCAAAGACAGTGCCAAAGAAGGCAAAGACGAGAACAATGAAAAGGAGAACAATATTGATGAAAATGAAACCAACAAAGATAATAATAATAATAATAATAGTCTTGTAGAGGGTACTAATTCAATAGCACCAGAAGAAGATCCTGCACAAATTTCACTATCACAATCTGAGGTTGGTGAGTCATTATCTTCTGATACATCATCATCTGCTAAATTGGAAGAGTCTCCGTCGATAACTTCTTCCACCACAAATCCATCATCATCATCATCATCTTCTTGGTCTTCAAATTGGTCTTGGTTCGAAGGGAGTAGTCATGGAGGGAACAACAAAAACCAAGCTTCAGCATGGGGGCTTGTCATTGTGACAGCCACGTCTGAAGGTGAGATCAAAGCTTATCAAAACTTTGGTTTGCCTCGTAAGATGGGTCGCCAGAGCAATCTCTTCTAGAAAAGATGTTAAATGGAAAAGGGATGCATAAATTTGGTACAGTTTACCTAAAATTTTAATTAAAGTACATAATAGTTCTTAGAAGGAAAATGGCTATAGGAATTAACTAATCCTGATCATAAAGTTTTACCCTCAAGTGTTTCCTTTTGTTGTTTTTTTTTTATGTGTAAAATGGCTATATAAATCAGTTTTTCATTTTTCTTTAGTGATTTCATGTACTTGTTAGAATATTCTCTTTTGTTCTTTTATAGAATATCAATTCACATTTATTTTATTGTATAATTATATCTCATCCTTTTTCGTGCTCGGACTAATTAAAAAATAACAATATGTATTCATTTGATTTCAATAATTGCTAGGACTAACGAAATTTTAAATATTCGGACACTATGAAATCACACTATTGATGACTATGTAAGCTCACTATTTCAGTCCCTTCTTTAAAAGTTCTTTCCTATCTCGTTAGTAGTTTTCCTGATCCATATACTTCCATGGCTCATATACCATCTATATTAAGAATCAATTCCTAAAACTTAATCTAAATCTATCCATTACTAGTTGCTAGCAGTCTCTTTTATTCTCTCGTTTAGCGAGAGTTAGGTATTCTGAGAGGTGGTGATGACCTCTAAGGTATAAAATTTTCCCTCCGTCCCACCGAGAGAATGAGGATACTTAAGCACTACTAGCGCTCATCCTTCCTTGCACCACCCTTTCATTGTGATACAATCAAAATCGTAGAGCTATACAACAAGCAAAGTACCATCACTTTGGTGGTTTAGAAAGAAAGAATGGAGAACAAGAGAGACGATGACTAAACTATATAGTCATCACCAACAGAGGGTCTGGAAACAAATCTTGACCAGATTGCTTTAATTGATGATGATGAGGGTTCGTTGGATGTAGAAGACTCGGATGATGATGTCGTTCGAATGGAGGCGAAACGGCGGCTTGGCCTCATTGAAAGATTCATAGCTGAAAAATAACTAAACATCAAATCATTAAAGATCGCCCTGACAAATCTTGGAATTGAAGAAAGACTTTAGGTAACAGATTTAGGGGATCTGATGTATGTCTTCCAGTTATTAGACATGGATGAAACAAGGTCTGTCATGGTGACCATGGCATTATGAGAATAAAATTATAATTTTCAAAGCGAGTGTTATGATCAAGAAACCTGTCCTTGAAGACATCCATATGAATGATATCTGGATCCACATCTATGGTTTTCCAACAGAGCTTCACATGAACACAATGACAGAAAATTGTGGCAAGATTTGGTTTGCTAGTCTGGTTTGATGATGGTGGCCAAACAATGTGGGATGACTAAATGAGAATAAGGGTCTACTTGAAAATAAACAACCCTATGAAGAAAAGAATAAAGTTCAAGGGAGACTGGAGGGAGATTTAATACTCTACGAGAAGCTTCCATTACACTATTTCTCGTGTGGGAGAAGGACTGATAGACCATTGATTACACATGTTTTTACCCCTATTCTTGAACCGTTTGAGATGTTGATTCTCGTGTTTTAAGCCGATTTCACACTAGGTTGTGCGTTTATGTCATATTTCAGGGCTTAACGTTGGCATCGAGGCAAAGAAACGAGTTTCGGGTCGAAAGGAGCACGTTTGGGATGAAGTGTCCTGGAGGAGCAATATACCCGACCATGAGCAGAAATACTCGACCGGGTATTATTTGGAGCAGACCGGGGATTTGTTGCTTCGGGTGTCTCTGAGAAGTAGAAGGGGGCCCGGGCACAGAGCGGAAATCCCCGGTCGGGGATTCTTGGCATTGACCGGGGATTTTCCCCTGTCTTCAGAGGCTGCGTTTTGAATATACCCGGTCACCACCCAAAATATCCGACCGGGTATTTAGACCGAGGATCGCGACAGACAACTTTTTAAGGGAAAAGAAGGGCAAAAGACAAGGGTTCCGAGTTTTAGAGAGAAAAAGCTATACCTAGAGAGAGAAAGTGACGAACCTGACTCTGCAAGTGTCCTTGATCGATCTCCATCACCATTGGAGCGTGGCTTGAGCTTGGAGAGGATCTGATTGAGTGGATTCATGGATTGATCCATGGATCTAAATGGCAAATTACGGTTTGGTACCTATACTTTTTATATTTTACATTTTGGTACCCTAAATTTAATTTTTTATACAAAAATATCATTGAATAATTACGTTTTGATACCTAAAATTTTTCATTATTACATTTTAGTACCTATATTTTTCACATTTTACATATTGATCCTTGGTTGAGGATGTGATTTGGATTCATGGATAATCCACCAATCCACTTGATTCAATAGATGAATTCACCAATTCATTGGATCCAAGCTATTTGATCCATGGATCCACCAATCCATGAATCAATCCATTTGCCACCTCTAGTTCGACATGATCTCCCCTGATGCTGCTCTTCTGCATAGTAGTGGTCATCACGTTCTTTCTATAAAGACATCACCGGCGGCAAGGCCAACCCACCACTTGGGCCTGGCACACCCCATATCATTAGTTCGTTTCATCAATAACACGCAAGAAAGAAGATTATGTTTATTTATTTTAATTTACTGAAGTGGAAATAATAAAAAGATTAAATTTTATTTTTTTATAATTTTTTTAATTGTCACATCACGTGTTTAACAGTCAATTATCTAGTTGACTGCCATATCAGCAAAAGTAAACGGAGAGTGGCCAAACTTGAACAGTTGAACTAATTTTAGTGACCATGAATAGAATAAACTAATTTTAGTGGCAAACATGAAACTTTTAATAATTCAAGTGACCGAACTTGCAATTTACCCTTTTTTTTTGTTAGGTGACCGGAGAGAGTCTACCGGAGAATATGTTCACAATCATTTTGTCGATGGAAGACAATGAGAGTACTGGAAAAGGAAGAGTGAGTAGGGATGAGAATGGGTCGGGTCGGGCGCGGATAGTGCATATCCGTTACCCTACCCAAAGTACTTCAGGTTTTATCCATACCCATACCCACATATGAAATGGGTAGAAAATCAAAACCATGCTCATACCCGTTCGGGTTTCGGGTATCCACGGTTATTCATGGGTAGTAATTTCTTTTTATAACTCCAACCAACATGTTAACATTGACACAATTATCACATTACATAAGAGAAAAAGTATGACAATAATTCACTAGAATGGAGAAAATTAATTAAAATAACACAATTTCATGAAAAATATTATATTTATATGCTAAATAGTAAATATAAAATATGTAGAGAAAAATAATGATTATTTATATACAAAATACATTTTGCATTTGTATAATCGGGCGGGTTCGGGTTTGATAGTGAGAAAACCGTTGCCACTCATTATCCGCAATATTTAGGTTCGGGTTTACCCGTACCCACAAAAAATACTTCGAGTTCGAGTTTTACTCTACCCGATTAAGTCGGATTCGAATAGATATCCACGATTACGGATATTTTTAAGTGAGAGATAGAAAGAGAGAATTGCTATGAATGTAGTTATTATTAATTTTTAATTCTCAAAGTACATTTATTAAAAATCACAGTCTGGTCCAGTGGTCCCTATTTTTACTATTAGCCTCCCTATTAGCCTATTTGTGGTAAGTGGTAACAAAAGAATCCCATGACGCGGTTTCAACGCGATCTCGATAGTGGTGAATGGTGGTGACTGGTGAGTGGACTGCCTGACTGGTCAATCGGGGTTGCGCAATTTGAAATATTTTGAACTAGCCGATCCCGCTTTGTTCATCTCTCCACAAAACAACACCGCCGCCGGCAACCCTCACCAAATCGCCAACCGGAGGTATTAAAGATGAGCTCACCTGTCTCCTATACAATCGGCGACAAGGACCTCGACGATGCTGCACTCTGGGCAGTGATCGACTCCGCCGAAGCCTCCCGCAAGCAGCTCACCACCGTCAAACACCGCAGCTTCCACTCTCCGATCTCCAAGCCCTCGCCGCCGCCGCCTTCGAAACCTCCACCGAGCTCCAAATATTACTCCAATGCCATTTCCCCTTACTCGGATCCCTGTCGCAGCAGGCCTCAGAAGATGGCCAGAACCTGCACCTCGGAGGCGAGCGAGAGGACGAGTCCGCTCGCTGTGGTCAGGGCGCCGGTTGCTACCACGACGGCGTACTCCTCTCCGGAGGCGTACTTGTCCCCACAGATCGGGAGGTATATCGTGAATGATCTTGGCGATGACAGATCTGACGTGTCTCCCGGAAGCTGCATTCGGCAGCAGCACGGCGAGGAGAGGGATCTTGTGCGGCATTGCTTGAATTTGAAGTTCCCTTCGGTTTCTCTGTTCAAGGACTACCAGAATGCGGCTATGGCGGTACTCACTCTGCTTGAATCTCCGTTAATTGTCCTGCTGTTGTGCACTTAGTTAGGGTTTTAGGATTATGCTCATCTCCTGTTCGACGAAATGTTCATGCGCTTTAGATGGTTCTTTCAATTTTGATGAACAGATTCTGGAGAAGTCTGATTACATGACGATTTCAGGACACCCGTTCATCAAGAAGTCTGGTGAGTTTCCACCTCTTCCATCAGGTTAACTGATTAATGGGATACTAAGTTAACAGCGTTGAGTGGTTCTATAGGTTGGAGGAAGATATCGTGTTTCTTCAACCTATCCTTTGAAATCAAAGATAAGAGCATCGAATTCGACGAAAACCGAAATGTCCAGCGAGCTGAGTTCGTTGTTCGAGCTTATATGCAGTATGCTTCTCTCAGCATCCAATATGCCCTTGAGCGTTGTTTCCCTTTGTTTGTGATTCTAGTGGCACTTGATTGCTGTATTTTTGGCAGGGGTGGAAGGTTTTCTGATGGGTGGGGCTCATGTGAAAAGCGTGAGAAGCGGTTCTTGAAACCAAATCATGACATCCCTAGCACAGCAGAAACTCGGGCAAAGAACAAAGCTTCCCAGGTCATTTCCCCTTTCTTCTCTTTCCCCACCCAGTCTGATGAAGAAACATGGAATTTTTTGATTGGCATGGTTCAACCTGCTATATTTGAGCTTCCAAAACCTGCTCCTTCCATAAGCCTAGCGTGTCGTGATTCATGACATCGCAGTAATTCTTTTCTTATTCACGGGGCTTGATTTCATCGGAGTAACTTGAGCTGTTGAGAGAAATCTAAATTCTAAACTTCATTCTAGTACAGGTATTAATAGCAATATGTTGAGACTTGAAGGGGGTACTTGATATCGTAGCTCATTGCGCTTATCTTGGGTTTATCTTTCCTTGCACTGTCCGAGTCTGATCTGTGGTTATTCTCTTGGTAACTATTGGACTTGGTAGTTTGTCTCAAGTAGAAAGTTCCCTTTCCCCCGAGTGTGAGAATGGTTTGCTTTCCCGTCTGAATGATCGATCCTATCTAGTGTTGGCATCTCACTGTGAATCACTTGAAACTAGTTCCACAGATAGACAATCATCTATTGTGCAAGCTTTGTGGTTGTTAACTCCCAGTCAACTTTCTTACTTTCCCTTTCCTTCTCAGGACTTAATGTTGCATATTCATTTCTTCGTTTTATTTTGGGAAGTCATAATCAATAGGTGTGTTCCCCTCACTGCTAACCCATGAAAGAGCCTACCTTTAACGTCGGCCATCATGATGAAGCTTTTACTTTCTTAACATTCATTCATTCTAACCCATCTTTTCCTGTCGACTCATTTGCAGGACCTGCTTGGAATTGGAGAGTATCGGCCCGGTGCAGGCCAATCTCACGAATAGCGAACTTAGTCAGTCCCCTCCCCATTTCGCCTCTTTGAGCGGCTAGCTAGTCAACAATGTTACTTCAATCACCATGTAACAGGGGAGAGCAGTACCACAAAAGCCAAAAGATAGGAGGTTTTGATACGTCTACGACTCGTATACGTTATGTCGACTGGTGGTCGAGTAAGGAGTGAGTGAGCCTTGTTGTTAGTTGCCCCCGCAACATTCCTTTGCCTTTCGAGCAAGTTAACAGAACGGATGGATGGATGCAGTAGTCATGTTTAGAAAATAGAACGTGATTAAGAAAGGGACAACAGCCGGGTCCTGATAAAGGACACTGAAGTGAAATTGGAGAATAGCGAAGTGGTGCAGCAAAAGGCAAAGGACATGTTGAATCTTGGTTGCCAGTGGCCTGTGGGAAACTGGCAGCGAGTTGCTAGTTTGGGCAACAAATGGAACGAGTTCATTTAACAAAATGATTTCCATTTTCAGTATATTTCGGGAATTTTTTTTTTCACATATCTATTGTTCCCCTTAATATTAGCAACCTACTTAAATAACTGAATAGCTATTTGCCGCCCGTATATTTACTATTTGCCGCCCGTAGTTAAAAATAAAAAGTCGATTTTGCCCTTCGATAAATTAAAACCTAATGAAATACCCAAACCTTTTGCTGCCGCCGTGTCTTGACTTGGAATCATTGGCCGAATTTGGCTGCCGTCGTTGAGGAGAAAGGAACTTATCGGCCAGGTCTCTAAAAATGGAATTGCCGGCCTCATCTTCCTCTTTTTTCTTCCTCGAATCCCGACTACGATTAAGCCTCACCTTCCTCTCTTTTTTCCCTGCTATTCCCGGCGAGGATGGGTGGTTCGACAATCAGACGGGGAAGTGTGGTCGTCGCCGGCGTACAGACGGAGATGAGTGGTCCGACGCATGCAATCGGACGGGATCCGCCTACCGGCGACGGACAGGGTCCGCCCTCTCACGTCGGACGGGGTCCACTCGTCGGCGACGGACGGGGTCCGCCCTCTCACGTCGGACGAGATCAGCTCGTCGGCGTCGGACGGGGTCCGCCCTCCGACATCGGACCGGTGTCTTGCTCACGATTTCCGGCGTCGAACATGTCGCCGGTGACTATTTCTTTCCCCCAAATTCTCGAATTAAATACCAAAATTCTCTAATTAACTCACATATATATTTGTTTCCCTAATTAACAACCATCGATAATGATGGAAATAATTAAATGAGATAACATGGAAATAGTTTTAATTAACACGTCCAATTCCATTTCCCTAATTGACAGCAGTAAAAAATTTCCTTAACTAACACGTCTTCCCTTAATTAACACATATAATTGGCATCCGAAAAAAATGCCAATAATCCCTCCTAATCCATCTTACGGCAGAATTTTAAGCAATTATTAATTATTTATTAATATTTGAGTGATCTAATCATTTCCTTTTTTCAAAATTATTGATTATCTTGTTAATTAAAACCGAAAATCCATTTTCCTAACTAACAACCGAGAATTCATTCCCTAATTAAATCCTTAATTCTATTTCCCTAATTAACTAATTAGAGTCGAACAAAACTACCTCAAGAAAAAAAACGGATAATTATTATTTCCATAATTAACAATTGAAAATAATTTCGTATACCTTTAAATCTTACTAAAATGGGGCGTGATTTCCGCAATATTAAAGGGTGATTAATCCTCTAATTAATTCTCAAAGGAATTTGTATCTATTTCCCTCTTTAAAATTAATTTATGTAAGATTAATACTCTAACTAATTTCCCTGTTTCTGAATTTTCGTTGATGAAGAATAGAGGATTGGGATTTAATCTCTTTGTGCATTAATTAATTCTTATTGGTTCCAATTCCATCGCCGGCAGAATCGCCAACGGGGGGAGCATGGTGGTCCGCCTTCTGAGGTCGGACGGGGTCCGCCCGGCGACGTCGGACGGGGACCGCCCACCGGCGTCGGACGGCCCGGTGCCTGGCGTTAACGACGCAAATGACGATGATGGGAAGACGATGAAGGGAGCCGACGTTCCGAGAGATGTTTTGGGGTTGGATCGTCGTTGGTGGGGATTTGTGGTCGGCAGGGATTCCCGACAAAGGAGGAAACTGTCGCACGTAAGGTTTTTTTTTTTTTTTACAATATGTAAGGTTTGATTGTGGTGGGTGACAATTAAAGAGAGGGCAAAAATGTAATTTACTTAAAATTTTTGGGCAGCAATTAGTAATTTTACGGGCGGTAAATAACAACCCTCTTAAATAATCCTTAGGGGAACCTAGACCAAAGACTCCTCCTTCCACGTCTCACCGCCAAAAGGGAATGGCTGGAGGGGTAAACCCTAAGAAGGTCAAAGAGGAAGAACAAAAAGAACAAGGTCTCTGTTCATTTGCCCGCTGGATTGCACTAATCATTCATTCCCATAGCACGCACTATCTCAATCCTTCGTTCCAGCTCCACTCAAGTTTTTCTTCTTCTGGTATTGTGCAGGGGTCGTACGATGGCTCGTCGTCTTCGGCTATGCTATAAGGATCGTTTATTGATGAATTTGGCGAAAGAGATGAACAATGGGGAAATGGAGGATTTACAGGGAAGTATCGAAAAAGAGAAGTCTGGTTTCTATAGACTACAACTAACTCGGAGAAAGGGAATGTAACTAGCTGTTTACACAATTGGCCAAAGATACCTCTCGCCTAACAGCTGTAGCTATTTGTACTTATCTATCTGCACACGTCATCACGTCAGCAGCTCGGGTTGTTACAAACTGTCACATCCCGATCTCTAAAACCCTCAAATAACAATTTTGCTCTGGAGCATAATTAAAATTTTGAAAGAAAGAAATAATAATGTGATCGAAATACCAATACTGAAAATACACCTTATAATTTAAAAGCAAAGCCCTAACATTTGGGCAAACCTCAATCCATAAAGTCTTATCCTTTTAAATCTCCAGTCATTACTCATGATCATAAAGCAAATAACTAAAGATTACAAATGTTGCTTACTCCGATCTATGGTCAGACATCTTCAGAAGTGCTCACGTGGTCCTCCTCTGTTAGCCTGCTCTCTCACTGGATGCTCCTCGACTGGATGCTCTCTAGATCCTCTTCTACGACCTGGTGAGTGGGTTGGGGTCAGTCTACGCCATTACTTAAACTTGAAGCACTTACGGGTATTCCCTTAACTGTTCACCTCAAAAACTTGTGGAAGTTGTTCATACTTCCACCCTTTAAATTTTAACCCTTAAAAACGTGGGAGTTGTTGTTACTCGCTACCCTCAAAAAAAAAAAAAAAAACTTAAACCTTTGACCGACACTGGGATCCCCTCACTAACTAGTCCAGCCGCCCAGCTCATACGAATGAGGCCCAACATAGGCCTTTCCTTAAACCTTTTTATGGGAGTAATCGATTCAACCCCATAAACCTTAAGAGTATATCGTACTCTTCCTTTAAACTTCATGTGATGTCTAAGTGATTCATCCACATGTTCCTTAAGAGCAAACTTGCTCTTCCTTTAACTTTCACTGAGGCGGGGGACTGGCGTTAGTGAACTACCTTTAAATCTTTTCACCCTAATTTAATTAGGAGTGAAATACCTCTTAAATGTTGATCCTTAAAGATCAACCAACCTTCATTAAATAAACACAATATAAAAGCTTCAAATAAATACCGAAAGCTAAAATAATCATATGCTTCACAATCATAACTCAAATAGAGCATCTCAGATAATATATCAAATAAAACATGCTTTATCAATCACGACATAAATCAATCACTGGCATACAATTCACATGAACACACATACTTAAAACACGTAAGTCAAATACTTGAAAATACGTAAGGCGTAGAATTTACCCCCTTAATCCACTCACCTTATTTGGTCGAGCAGTTAAACTTGATCTAGCCCCCCCGTCAAAGGATCGATGCTCAAGAGAAGATGATTCGCCTTGTCAACTTATGGCGAATACTGAGATTAGATCGGTTGGGTTTCGGGTACTTAGCGACGGTTTTCTCGACGTGTGACTACTTTGCAAGATGTGCAAAGTACGACATACTAATATACCAATTAATATAATATACTTGAATCATAATTCTTTAAACCCAACACTTTTAATTTAAAGTCCAAGTTAATTTAAATCATTGAACAACTAATTATGCTAGGATAGCTTACGTAGTTGAAATCGAACCTCGATTAGGTCATATAAGAAGGCACATTACTCTACTAGAGAAATCACTAGCTTTATCATTTAACTGCATATATCAATAGGACTAAATTACTATATCATGTTTACTTTTACTAGAGAACTTAACCCTAGTATTCTCGTTGGAAAAACTAAATTGGACAATCCAATTTACGGACTAGATTAATTAACTTATAATTTGTTAGGATTATTATCATACTATTAGACCAATAACTAAAATATCCATTAATTGATTTACAGCTTTATAATTACGAAACCAATAGAATTTCCTATTATATATCTTGACCCTCAAAATTAAGCCTTATGTTTAATCGAATACAGTTTTCTCCGATTGACAAAACATCATTAACACTTGTTAACCTAGTGGATTAAATTACCAAACGCACAGCTCATTTAATGACAGTCAGAAGATCAGTCACTAAATATGTTTGGTGTTCGTCGCTAAAGGGTTGCTACTGGGTTGGTCGGCTAAACTGTAGCAACGATAACAGATCAGTCCCTAAAAGCATGTATTCCCGTCGCTAAATTCCCAGAATTGTGCAAGCTCGTATTTAATCATACAAACGTCGATTATAATGGGAGGGATCAGATTTTCTTACCTCGTATTCGTGCCTAGGCCTTCATTTGAGTCACGAGGGTCGTTATTTCTTGGTTTAATAGTCGTTTGATAACTCGGTCGTCGAGGCTACGATGGAAAACGACCATGGTTAGCTAATTTATAGCTTCTAATATAGGAAGGGTCCGGGATCTATCACTCTTACCTACTGTTCTCACGAGAGAGTGGGAGATACGAAGGAAACCAGCTAGTTATGTGGTCCTTCTCTGGTAACGATAATGAACGGTGATGTGGCGAGATCGATGATGATGACGAGATGGATGAGTACGTGTTATTGTTGGCCTCACCCTCCTCCTACTAGCAGTGGCGACGATGGTGATTGGGAATGGAGGTAAAAGAGCTTTAGCTTCTGGTGGTGTTTGATTTGAACAAGGAGAGATGGGGTGTTCCGGATGCGAGAGGCAGATGGATGGCGGTGGTAATGGAGCACATTTGGGAGAGGAAATGATTTATTAACTTTGTGGAAGGGAGGAGGGAAAATAAATGGGATCACATGATTTGCCTGCAGAAGATAAGAGATGGGTTATGGGAATTAATCAAAGGTGTCGGTGATAGAAGAGAAGAATGGGGTCTTTTCCTCTTGTCCCACCTCTCATTCATCCATACACCAAATAAATTCCTCACCTGTAGATTTCTTTTACAAGACTAATTACCTTATGTTTAATTTAAGCGGAGGGTAGTTTAGGTACTTCGCAAATGATTATTGTACAGGGTATTACATTTCCTCCCCACTTATAAAAATTTCGTCCCCGAAATTAGAATTGTTGGATAGGCATTGAGGTACAAACACTTGTATTCGACTGGAATTAGTTTGACTGGGATGTAACATTTTCTTCCCCCTTAAATAAATTTTGACCTCGAAATTTTGGGTGAACTGCGTTGTTGTACTTAGTGGAACAGAACTTAATCACCATGACTATTATTAAATAGTGTGTATTGAGAGCTGAACGCTAAAATACATTGGGACTATCAACCACCGATCTAAGCATCGTTAAACAATTCTGGGTACTTCTCTCGCATGCTAGTTTCTGTCTCCCAAGTCGCAGCCTCGTTGCCCTGGTTCTTCCATATCACCTTTACCATTACAATCTTCTTTTTTCTCAATTTCTTTTCCTGTTTATCCACGATCTTAACTGGGGTTTCCTCGTAAGTCAAATCGTCCTCCAACTGGATGTCCTCATGCCTGAGGACATGTTCAGGGTTAGATCGATATGCCCTCAACATGCTTACATGAAAGACATCGTGAATCTCTAGATAGGCTAGGAGGTAAAGCTAGTCGATATGCTAAGGGTCCCACACGCTCCAACACCTCGTATGGCCCGATATACCTCGGACTAAGCTTTCCCTTCTTGCCGAATCTCATTACTCCCTTCCAAGGAGACACCCTCAGAAATACCATATCACCCACGACATGACTGCGTGGGTTTCCTGGCCTTTGAGCATTACTTTTCTGTCGGTCCTGGGCCACTTTCAAGTTTCGACGAATTGCCTCCACCTTTTCCACTGCCTTCTGTACCATATCCGGACCTTCTAGTTGTCGTACTCCTTCTTCATCCCAGTATAGTGGTGTGCGACATTTTCTCCCATACAATACCTCATATGGAGCTGCTTGTATCGAGGTGTGATACTGGTTATTGTAAGCAAACTCCATTAGGAGCAAATACTCGTCCCAAGCTCCCTCCATCGTCAAGACACACGCCCTCAGCAGGTCTTCCAGCGTTTGAATGGTCCTCTCTGACTGTCCATCAGTCTGGGGGTGATATGCAGTAGAAAAATGCACCTTAGTGCCCATAGCCTTCTGAAGACTTACCCAGAATCGTGCTGTGAAGCTAGGATCGCGATCAGACACGATGCTAAGTGGAACTCCATGTAACCTCACTATCTCTCTCACATACAATCTAGCCAGTTCTTCCAGCCCTGGCTTGAACTTGATTGGTATAAAATGAGCCACCTTTGAGAATCGGTCTACAATTACCCAAACTCCGTCATTTCCCTTCGGGGTCCTGGGCATGCCATACACAAAATCCATAGTGATCTTCTCCCAAGTCCATTGTGGAATTTCCAGTGGTAGATGTTCAATGACTGGGGCTTGATGCTCAGCCTTAATCATTTGACACTCCAAGCACTGATAAACATGTGCTGCTACATCCTTCTTCAATCCTGGCCACCAAAAATGCTCCTTGAGGGTACGATACATTTTTGTGGCACCAGGGTGCATCGCATAAGGTGCAGAGTGGGCCTCGTCTAGAATGTCCTTTCTCAACTTGTCGACATCCGGTACACATAATCTTCCTTGATACATTAGTACATCATCTACCAGTTCAAATTTGGTGTCCTTCCCTTTCAGCATATTTTTCTTGTACTTCTCCAATTCTGTATCTTCATCCTGCTTCTCCTTGATACGTTCCTGTAACATAGGGCGAACCTTCAAGGTTGCTAACAGTTTTGTCACTTCTTCTAATTCTAATTCCACGTTCATGGCCCTCAAAGAGACCAAGTTGGGTAAAGGACTCTCTCTCTTCCTACTCAATGCATCAGCTACCACATTTACCTTTCCTGGATGGTACTTAATAGTACAATCATAATCGCTTAATAGCTCCATCCACCTCCTCTGTCTCATGTTCAACTCCTTCTGATCAGTTAAGTGTTGGAGACTTTTGTGATCAGTAAAGATGGTGAAAGTCTCGCCGTAGAGATAGTTTCTCCATAGCTTTAAGGCAAATACCACTGCTGCCAACTCTAAATCATGGGTGGGGTAGTTCACCTCGTGGGGTCTTAGTTGCCTCGAAGAGTAGGCAATCACCTTTTTATCTTGCATCAACACGCAACCCAACCCTTGATACAAAGCATCACTATAGATGGAATACTCCCCACCACTGGTTGGTAATGCCAACACAGGTGCAAACGTCAACTTCTTCTTCAGCAACTCGAATGCAGCTTGACACTTCCCGTCCCATAAAAATGCCTTCCCCTTCTGCAATAATTGAGTCATGGGTCTCGCAATACTGGAGAAGCTTTCTACAAACCTCCGGTAGTACCCAGCTAAACCCAGAAAACTCCGTACTTCGGAAACGTTCTTTGGTGGAATCCAATTTGTCACAGCTTCAATCTTCTTTGGATCCACTTCAACTCCACAACCAGGGATCATATGCCCCAAAAATAGGACTTCGTCTAGCCAGAAATCGCATTTCGAGAACTTGGCATACAACTCTTCCTCCTTCAGTTTCTGTAATACCACCCTTAAGTGCTCTTCATGCTCCTTCTCGCTCTTAGAGTAGATGAGAATGTCATCAATGAAGACGATGCCAACTTATCTAGATATTCATGAAGAACTCGGTTCATCAAGGCCATGAAAGCTGCCGGTGCATTAGTCAAACCGAACGGCATGACCAAGAACTCGTAGTGGCCATATCGTGTGCGGAATGCCGTCTTAGGAATGGATCCATCTGCTACCCTCAATTGATGGTATCCAGACCTTAGATCAATTTTTGAGAACACTTTTGCTCCTTGTAGCTGGTCGAAGAGATCGTCTATCCTTGGCAGAGGATAACGATTCTTGATGGCTGCCTTGTTCAACTTCCTATAGTCGATGCACAGTCTCATACTGCCATCCTTCTTCTTCACGAACAACACTGGTGCTCCCCACGGTGATACGCTAGGGTGGATGAAACCCTTCTCCAATAGCTCTTCTAACTGCTCCTTCAGCTCCTTCAACTCCACTGGTGCCATGCGGTATGGAGGAATGGATATTGGTGCAGTACCAGGAACCACTTCAATATCAAATTCCACCTCCCGTTGCGGCGGTAACCCATGAAGATCTTCGGGGAATACCTCGGGGTATTCTCTTACAATAGGCACGTCCTCCACCTTCTTCTCTTGCACCTCCTTGACATGGGCCAAGTAGGCTTCACACCCTTTTTGGATCAACGAGAAGGCCTTCACCGCAGAGATTAAGCCTCCCGGAATCAGCTTTCTGGTACCCTTGAATAATGCCGTGCCCTTGCCCTCAATTTCAAGCTAACCTCCTTCTTGTAACAATCCACCCTTGCTCGGTTATTGGACAGCCAATCCCTACCCAGTATGACGTCAAACTCGTCAAACGGAAGTATGATCAGATTTGCATCAAACTCGAAACCAGCCACTGTGATAGTGCAATTCCTGATAACGGAGTCCACTATCAACGTGTCCCCTACTAGGGTTCTCACTCCTAAATTCTGTCCCAACTTCACAGAAGGTATTCTTAAATTTCTAGCAAACTTTGTAGAGATAAATGAATGCGTAGAACCAGAATCAATGAGCACAAAAGCTGAATGTCGATAAAGAGTAATCATACCCGTCACCACTTCAGGTGCAACATCAACCTCTTCTCTCCTCATGGCAAAGATCCTTGGTTGCCCAGCTGCTTGAGACCCCTGGCCCTTATCATTACGGATGGACCGCCCAACATTTCCTCCATTGTTGTTGAAAGATCGGTTTGGCTGATTGCCAAACTGGTACCCGGTGTGAGTTTTTCCTCCTCCACCACGAACAGACTGTTTAGACTGAGTCCTCCCTTGCCCTCCCTTCTT